TCATCCAGGTCGTTTATAAATATATTGAATAGTTCTGGTCGCAGTACTGACCCTTGAGGGACCCCACTAGACACAGGTCTCCAACTAGGCTCTGAGAAGGTTTTGCTGAGAAGGATCCTCTCACCAAGTCTGTTCACAAACCAACCATTCCTCAGCAATCCCATGGTGCTGGGACAAGTGCTGAGTCCACAGCCAGCCCGGGTAGGCTTTGATAATAATCACATGAAGCCTCAAATCTGCTCACCGCAGTTGCACAGCATGTTTAGTAGATGACTGTTTCCATTCCTCACAAGGCAGAGGAGCATTTCACAGAGGTTAGATTCCCTATTTCACTGTTGTCCTTCTAAAGTTATTATCATTCCACTTTTTCTAATACAGCCTGGTGACTTTGTCCTCCATCCCATGTCCCCTCTGCTTCAGGTTTCTAAGTGGATACTCACACATTAAGCAGCAAGTACTTCTCAATTTTTCTACTAATAAGCAGTGAAGAAATGCCACTTACTTCCATGCTTAAATAGGTGCTGCTCCTCTTCCTTCAGCCTGTTCTGCATAAGCTCTAGCATGTTTGTTGCTTCCTGTAAGAGGTGAAAACAACTGAATTAGAAAAGCTGCCACATCGCCCAGTCAAGTAGCTAGCTGGATGGTCCTACAACAGTTAAGGGCACTCACAGGCAGAATGAGAAAAGAAAATTTCAGTATTGAAAATATTTCAGGAAAAAAAAAGGTCTTAATTGAAACACAGGAGCTCCTACTTACTTTGCTCATGAGGGTCAGGATATAAAGCACGTACCCAGGTGAAACTGCACCGAAAATCAACCATGCATTCCCACTGGCTGACACCTCACATGGAAAATCACATAATCACAGAATATTAGGGATTGGAAGGGACCTCAAAAGATCATCCAGTCCAACCCCCTGCCAGAGCAGGATGAGATCACACAGGAAGGTGTCCAGGCAGGTCTTGAATGTCTCCAGAGAAGGAGACTCCACCCCCTCCCTGGGCAGCCTGTCCCAGGGCTCTGGCACCCTCACTGGAAAGAAGTTTCTTCTCAAGTTGAAGCAGAACCTCCTGTGTTCCAGCTCACACCCATTGCCCCTTGTCCTACCATTGGGCATCACTGAGAAGAGCCTGGCTCCATCCTCCTGACATTCACCCTTTACATATTTATAAACATTAATGAGGTCACCCCTCAGTCTCCTCTTCTCCAAGCTGAAGAGCCCCAGCTCCCTCAGCCTTTCCTCAGCAGGGAGATGCTCCACTCCCTTCATCATCTTGGTGGCTCTGTGCTGGACTCTCTCAATAAGTTCACTTGTCTTCTTCCCCAGAAAATTAGTGCCATTACAGAATGAAAGGGGCTTTCTTCAGAAAGCAGGCTTTGGTAGTTGTTTTCAACCAACACTCCTTTCAATGGAAGTGGTTTGTGCAATGACTGCAACTTCATAATACACGAACCGAACCAGAATAAATTCACACATTTCCACGCACGTTAACAAAGTGGGAACAAAAAGCCCTATCAATAAGCTGGAGAGGTGTAGCCATGTACTATCATATTTGGGTGCAAAGGGGACAGTAAGACTGCACGAGGTGCTTTGTTGATTTTCTTTTTTGAATATAGCAGGTTGCTAGATAAAAATATGCTGAGAAATGCTATTGTCATGACAGTATGATAAAGTTACGACAAACGCAGTTCAGAGCAAATGGAAAAAGGAGGTAGAACAGTGGTTGTTGCTGTGCTGAGGAAGAGAAGCAAATCCCAAGTCTCAACCCACTCAAATGAAGGCCAATGAGAATAGAAAATGTTGCAAAAACGCCCACAAGGACTTATAAAACCAAAGTCTTGCACAGTCAAGCAAGTAAGAAAGGTGACAGCGCAGAAGGGAAGCAGCACGCTGACGGCAGCGGGGCAGTGGTGGTGAAGACTGATTCCTCATTCCAGTGTAAGGGATTAGTGAGAAAACATGGGTGGTGCTGTAGACAGGAATGATGAGAGTAATTTTAATTTTCTAGGATCCATGAACATGCAGAGCTTCACAGACCTGGTAGACTAAAGGGGCTATTTGATTGCTGACAATCACAAAGCAATTGTAGGAGGCGCTTCACTGAGTTCAGGAAGTTCTCCAGCCACTTAGGACTAAAATCTAGCAAAGATACCAAGACAGTGAATTTTAGGAACTAAGCTTTGCTATTCCAATAGCAGCATCAGACAGAAAAAGAGAGTTTTAATGATATCTAGTTTAAGTTTGGATGATGTTAATGGTGAACAGCAAACTAAACTATCAATAGAGTAGGTAGGATATGAAGGCAGAGCGTTAGATTCTGATAGAACCTGCAATACTAAACAGGTGGCAAACAACTGATGGAAATATTTAGCCACAAATTTTGATAGTTTTAGTCTCTTCTACAGTTCCAGTCAAGCAAGACAAGTAGATGGGAATGCTAATTAACTGTAGATTGAACTAAGATTTTTCTGAGCCTTTGATTTTCTGTGCAAAATGTGCATATAATTAAAAAAAAAGACACTTGTTGCTCTGACATGGTAAGACCTTCACACTGACAGTGAGCTGGGATATCTGTGGGGCAGAGGGAAGTAAGAAGAGCATCTGATAATGGTTGAACAGTGGACAGTCTTTTTACACTTCCAGATGGAAATGTGTATCCATACGTATGGCAACGGGGTGCCAACTGAGAAAGGAAAATCCCCTCCCACCAGCCTCTAGGCAGCAGCAAACCACCGAGTCCCACCCAGCACACAAGGACGTTGCTGGAAACAGAAGTCTGGAGATTGGCTTGCATGATACATCACCTCTTGGCATCAACATCTGTGTCTTGGGAGTTGAAATTCATGCTGAAAAAGCCTGGAGAGAAGATGTTTACAGGTGGTAAGGGGAAGTGACGTAGATCTCCTGTACCTGGTGAGAAACCCAGCTCAGTGCCTCTCTCAGAGCCACAGAGGGAATAAATTCTGATCCAAAAATCTCTGAACAACTATGCAAGGTGTCTGCTGTACAAACTCTCCAGTACTAATAGAGACAACGGCCCCACAGATGCTAGGAAGACTTCCAATGATTGCCTGGAATTGTAGAAATAACACTGCAAAACATATAGAAAATAACAGAAATAACAGAAATAACCCAGCAGGCCTGACAGCTTCCAGGGCTATAAAGCAGAAAGGTCAGGATGCAAAATCATTCTGAATGAGACACTCCAACAGCAACTTGAAACAATAGAAACTACTGAAATCCCTGAAATGATGGACAGATATTCTGCAGGGAGAAGCTAATTCCATCTGCAAGAATGACGAAGGGAAAGACACAAGCCTATTTTTATAACTTGTTTCATGTAGGTTCCGAACATTTTAAACACCTTCTTTAGGAAACTGCTCTGCTTTATTACTTCCTTTTATAAGGAACAAACGACAGTGAGGACACAACAGTGTGACTAAAGATTAAAGGCAAGGGATGACACAAGGATGCTGTGGATGGTGCAGTTATGGTAAGTGGGCCAATGAAAGTTACCTGCCTCCACTTGATCCATGCTGTTGACCATGGTACAAGGGACTTCTGTACAACAGCAACACATCTGCCCATTGCCTGCAAACCTGCCCAGCTCAGTCCCACTCAGAAGTGTAACCTCTGCAATGACTACCATTTTCCATCCCCCTTTGGGTTAGCAAAGCCTTTTTAAAGACTGATGAAAATCAAAATGAATATGGACATGAGGCAAAGTTTTCAGAGGTTTCTAGCTACCAGCATCTCCTCCAGTCTCTGTAGCACATGCTCATTCCAAGACCTCCCTCTGCATCTGTGGGTCCCAACACTTCTGACTGTTGCTATCTTCTTTCTTTACCTCTTCTTCCCTACCTGGTTTCTCCTAGTCAGCCATAAGATTTAAAGATAGTCAGTGATTTAAACAAGTCTTGTCCCTGCCCCAACAAACATTTACTATGCCTCTGGGATAAATGGAGAAAGTGAGGTATCATTCAGCCACTTGAATCTCAACCCCACTAGCTGCTGCAGCCTACACAGTGCATACAGGGAGGAAAAAAGAAAGGACATTTCCCAAATGACATGGGGATAAATTCATAAAACCAGAAAACATTTTTTAAATGTTCATGGACCAGTGAAAAACTGGGTATGGATATTATCATTGCCTGATACTGTAACTCCAGGCACAAGTTAAGAGCTGAAGCTTGGCAATCCCAAATCAGTCAAATAGGCAGTCACCTTCTCCTGCACCCTGAGCCACGTGCTCCTTCCCTTTTATCACCCTCCTGCTCTGGTGCAAGTATTTGTGCAGCGACACAAAAGAAACCTGGTGAAAACTAATCCATCCAACCAAAATTAAACCAGGCATTTCTTCACTGCAGTTCAGCACGTGGCTACGCAAATTCTTGACTGGCACAATGAAGGACAGGGTGTTGCAGTTGGGGGAAAAATAATAGGGATAAGAAGATGGAGTACTCTTTGTTTCAGCTTCAGTGCTGGTTTATGGACTTAAAATAGCAGATAAATGAAGTCTAAGAAAATGGTTTAGCCCTACAGATGAGCCACTTCTCCCCCTTTCCTCTAGCCTCTTACTTGTGCTGGCGCACGCCGCTCAGCTGACCTTGTACCAAGCCAGCCCAGAGTTAACTGGCAGGAAAAACATTGAATTTCTACTGGTTTAGATTTCTGAGTAGCTCGATGCACAGTCAGTCAAATGCCACTGTCAGCCCAAGGGAGCTGCTGAGACTCTACAACACCGTCCCTTTCAACAGCAGCCCATCGCTGCACCAGTGTAGCTGTGCTGCTGGACTACACCCTGCAAAAGCTTATCAAAAACTGCAGCAACAAAAACTGTTTCAAAAGGGCAGCCTCAAACCAGTTGGAACCAGGAGAGCATCAGTTAAGTGCTGTTTAGAATCCTTAACAAGTGAGATCTTCCAAGGAAGGGGCAGAAGCAATGGCAGATCACAGAAAGCAAACAAAATTTATCACAGAATTTTTTCAAGTTACATACTCAAAAGAATCTGCAGAGAAATCTTAGATCTGTTAAATTAGTGAAAGAATTACAACAGCTTTATTAGTTTAAGAATTTGGGTTTAAAAACAATGACAACTGTTAAACAGCTGAGTCAGTGGCAGCTTCAGCTTCACCTTCTGCCTGCTGCTTTTAATGACTGCAATCACCAGGCTGCATCTCTTGACCTGACTGTGTTCCACCTTCACTGCAGACACCGCTCCCCGCACTTCCCATCATCTTACCAGACGTGATTTATATCAGCTCAGGGAAAACAAGCCCATGCTCATCATAAATGTTTTTCAGCTTTAGATTGGCCACTTCTGTGTGACCCAGGGCTTCTGAAACGTGACGAGGGAGAAAAGCTAAGGGTGTGATGGACCCTAACACCACAGATGCTCTTTCAACACACAATGTTGTACAACGGACCAGCGCTCTGCACAGGACAGCGGTCAGGTTTTCTGTGCAGTGACAGCTCCATGAAACTAGAGGTGTGGCCCTGACCTTGTGAAGCACCCGTGGGGATGGCCTGGGTGCCTCAGGATGCTGTATGAGCAGCAGCCAACATTTCAGTGCC